CTACATGATCAGGTCCTTCGTCCATTTCTTCTTCGGAGACTAAAGTCTGATGTTGAGAAAGGTTTGCCTCCAAAGAAGGAAACAATTCTTAAGGTTGGTATGTCCCAGATGCAGAAACACTACTATAGGGCTCTGTTGCAGAAAGATCTTGAGGTTGTTAATTCTGGAGGAGAGCGCAAGCGTCTTCTTAATATAGCAATGCAGCTCCGAAAATGTTGTAATCATCCATATCTTTTCCAAGGAGCTGAGCCAGGACCTCCATATACAACAGGAGAGCATCTCATAGAAAATGCTGGTAATATTTTATTTCTATAAATGAATAGGAAAACCTTATCAATTTTTGGTTGTAAGCTTTTCCTTATAATGCATGTTCTCAATGCAGGCAAAATGGTTCTTCTAGATAAGTTACTTCCTAAGCTGAAGGAACGTGGCTCTAGGGTTTTAATATTTTCACAGGTTTTTTATCTCTCTTTCTTGTTCTCGACATTCCTGCTATCTTTTTTCTAAATAGCTCATGTACAGATTTTCGGGCTGAACCTTTGCTTCAATATTATGATCTAGATGACACGGCTATTGGATATCCTCGAAGACTACCTGATGTACCGTGGTCACCAATATTGTCGGATTGATGGAAACACTGGTGGAGAAGATCGTGATGCTTCTATTGAGGCATTTAACAGTCCAGGGAGTGAAATTTTTTGCTTCTTATTGTCAACCAGAGCTGGCGGTCTTGGTATCAATCTTGCTACAGCAGATATTGTAATTCTTTATGACAGTGACTGGTGAGGGAGGATCTTATAAGTCTGGTTTTCAGAATCTGGAGAATAGATGATATCTGAGTCTATTGGGTTTCCTGTCATTGTATTACAGGAATCCACAGGTTGACTTGCAGGCGCAGGACCGTGCCCATAGGATTGGACAGAAGAAGGAGGTCCAAGTATTCCGTTTCTGCACTGAGGTTTGCTTTCTTTCTAGATGTGTTACTATACTGAAATAATGCCATCACTTTGGTCTCTGTAGTGACGGTTGACACATTCTTATTTCAATTAATTCAAATAGTACACAATTGAGGAAAAGGTGATTGAAAGGGCTTATAAAAAGCTGGCACTTGATGCATTGGTTATCCAGCAGGGACGGCTGGCTGAACAAAAGAGTAAGCTTTCATTCTTGTGTTATTGCTTTCTCTTGATTATATTTTAGATGTTAGAGTATACTGAATTTTGATCATCTATTGGCCGATCATGCAGCTGTTAATAAGGATGAGCTGCTGCAGATGGTGCGGTTTGGTGCTGAAATGGTATTCAGTTCCAAAGATAGTACTATTACAGATGAGGATATCGATAGAATCATTGCCAAAGGAGAAGAGGCAACAGCAGAACTTGATGCCAAGATGAAGAAGTTTACAGAAGATGCCATCAAGTTTAAGATGGATGACAGTATGCACTCTGCTCTTCTTTTTGGCTTGTGGGTTGTATCTTTTGGCTCTATATAATTGGTTGTGCTTTTTTGCTGTTCTAAACAATTTGGATTTTTTAACTAAGATTTGCCTACTTTTTGCAGCTGCTGACTTGTATGACTTTGATGACGAAAAGGTAAGGGTGTTTAACTTGATTAGTTATCTAACAATTCTTTGTTTCAGACATCTTTAGTGTGCTTATCTTTCGTCTTTCTGGTTTATGTATTGTTGATGAAGGATGAAAACAAGGTGGATTTCAAGAAAATTGCCAGTGAAAATTGGATAGAACCTCCAAAAAGAGAGAGAAAACGCAAGTATGATTTTTAGTTGCTAAGTTCACCTTTTGATGTATTTAGAGCTTAATTTATCATCATTTTAAATGACTTCTTTGCTGTCAGTTACTCAGAGTCCGAATACTTCAAGCAGACCATGCGACAAAGTGGTCCTGCAAGACCTAAAGAGCCCAGGATTCCTAGGATGCCTCAGTTGTAAGTTGATTGCAATCAGTTGTACTAATTTTACTCCTCCCATTTTTCCTAGTGCCATAAGCAATACTGAGTTCTCTGAGTTCCAGCTTTTCGCAAGTTTGCTGATCTTTATGCCAAAATTCTGTTTATTGACATATCTTAACATTCTTAGGCACGACTTTCAGTTCTTTAATACCCAGAGACTAAGTGAGCTGTACGAGAAGGAAGTGCGTTGTCTCATGGTGGGTTATGCCTCGGGATTTCCCAGGATTTCTTTTATTGACATCTTCGTATGTGCCTTTTTGTTTGGTATCTTAATTTTCCGTTTCATTTCAGCAAGCGCACCAGAAGAATCAATTAAAAGACACAATAGAAGTGGAAGAGCATGAAGGTATAATTCCTTTTTCCTTTTAAAGGAATTTTTTTCCCTCTAAAATTTGGATGTGGGGACACATTAGGGTCTACTTTGCTTTGTGAAATGTGCTAACAATTGTTGCATTGTAGATGTTGGAGAGCCTTTAACTGCTGAGGAACAGGAAGAAAAGGAGAAACTGTTGGAGGAGGTAAGTGGTTTATTAACTCATGATGGGGTTATATTTAGCTTTTATATGTATCAGAATTTGGCATTTTGTACTTGTAGGGATTTTCAACATGGAGTAGGAGAGACTTCAATGCTTTTATCAGGGCATGTGAGAAGTATGGTCGGAATGACATAAAAAGTATTGCTGCTGAAATGGAAGGAAAGACAGAGGAGGAGGTTGAAAGATATGCAAAAGTTTTCAAAGAAAGATACAAAGAGTTAAATGGTAAGTGGTAGTTAATTTGCAAATAAAGAAAGAATTACTCTAGTCTTTCCGGTCCAAAGAGAACATCCAATTGTTATATGAAATAATTGTTAACACGAGAGTGGTAAATACTATTTAAGTGTTAAGTGGTAAACATTTGGTGCACATGTTGCTTTCTTTTTATGGTCTAAGAATGGGGAAGGAGAGAGGAAACCCTATTTGAAAGTAGACTGTTTTTTGTCAATTAAATCAGTGTGCCTGAATGAGTAATTTGGATCCTATGCAACTGTTTATATTGTATTGGGTGGAATGCTGGTTATCGAAAAAAACTGACTTTTAATTTGGGAAGGGATTGCGTGCTGGCCATTCTTCCTTTGTCTAGGGTACATCCCCGTTTTGTTTGAGAGGCTAAGGAACTAGAGTCCAAAAAGCAAAAAGAAAATGTGTAATTTCCCCATCTTCCTCTAAAAATTGTGTAATATCTGTCATTTTTTGTTGCAAAAAGCCGCTCCATGGTGGCAATCCAAATATTCTTGTTTTAGCGCAAATTTTATAAATGGTAAGCTTGCAATAAGCTGCAAAATATGGTAACCCAAAGGTTCTTTATTGATCTAGTTACAAATATGGAGCAATATGGTTCTCATCTTCAGTATACACCACCACTTAATTATTTATGTGATTGCTCTTGTAACGCTCATGTTCCATGTAAAGATTTCTAACCTCCTAAGAGAAGATTAATCACACTTTATCCACATTAAAAATGTTACATACTTTTGCTAATAGTGTTATTTAAACAACTTTGACAGACTTCAACAATTTCAGTATTATTGAACTATTCAAAGTTATTTTTTTAAAAGATCTAACTATTCACAGTTAAATTGCTATTAAACATACTTTTCAACTATTAGCTTAATATTTTCTTCTATTTCTAGTGATATAGAAGTCAACATTGGCATCTTATTATATGTGCTCAGCCAAATGGTATTATATATATTGGGAACACATTTTGTGTATGTTAGATCTGTTACATGCAATGTCGTGCTAATTGATATTACAGAATTACAAAAAACGAGTGGACGGATAAGCTCTTGATGTTCGGGCAGGAAAGGAATAAAGTTCTGTCTTGTGGTTAATGTTTTTGCTTTAGATAGCATTTGGGGCATGCTTTTATTTGATGTTGGAGGCACGTTATTCTAATGGATGGTGTGTGTATAGATTATGATAGGATTATAAAGAATATCGAAAGAGGAGAGGCTAGAATTTCGCGGAAGGATGAGATCATGAAAACAATTGGGAAGAAGTTGGACCGCTACAAGAATCCATGGTTGGAGTTGAAGATCCAGTATGGTCAGAACAAAGGGAAATTGTATAATGAGGAGTGTGATCGCTTCATGGTAAGCGGACTAAAACTTTTGGTGCTTAATCTTTTACTTTATGTCTTTAGGATTTATGTATATGGAGATCATTTTGCAGTTATGTATGGTTCACAAGCTCGGCT